TATAATAACGTTGAGCTCTTTATTCTCTATGCCTTCCCATTAGCTACTTAATTTCCCCTTGCCCCTCTCTTCCTTGAACAAATGCAATTCTGTCAGCCTGCCTTYGTCCATGCAGCACCTCAGACCCCTGCCTAGGACCGGTTCAGGACCTTGCTTTGGACATGTTCCAAATGCATGTGGACATGCCTCCCTATGCTCTAGTTAAGACTCTCAACATCTGTAGGTAATGTTAATCTGCTGTTAATCAAATTCTGTTGTTTTCATTGAAACCAGGGCAATTAAARTGAGTTAAGAGTTTGGTCTATGTTTTTATTTTAAAAGTTGCTCCTTCATAAAGGACGCATTGAAAGATTTGACACTGAGCGCTATAATTTGCATGATGGTGGACAGCTGGTTCTTTCTGGTTTCCCAACTTTTTCTTTTTTCCTCTTTCACTCAGTAGCATTTGTGTTTTTCTTTTTGGATCAGGAGTGATTCACATTGGGGGACAGGAACATTTTTACATGGAGACTCAGACTGTGCTTGCTGTTCCAAAAGGGGAGGATAAAGAAATGGATGTGTATGTGTCAACGCAGCATCCAGCATTTATCCAGGTAATAAACGGAGTTCTTTGAGAACCTGTGACAACAGAGCTCTGTAGKTGGATTTGAAAACACTTTAGAGACAGCAGGAACATAAAATTGCACATTTGGATTAGGCAACCACAGCTGCTCTGATCACTGCCATCAGGATAAGGAGGAGGTAAGAGTCTCTTATTTCCCTTTGAACAAAGTGCCATATTCCACTAATGCAGGCATGAGAAAATCCCTATGGAACTTCTGAGGTTTGTGGTCAAAGCCTGCTGTTCAGTTCCTCTCTCATTTCCATTACTTTTATACCACTGATAGCTAGGAAGCATGAAGAATTTCATGTTCGAGAAATAGTGAATGAGATTTGAAACAAGAGCACTCCTGACACATATAGATTAGATTATTGAAAAYCAGATGGTCTTATTTTAGATTAAAAAAGAATTAATAAAATCATGAAGTTACTTTTAATTATTAATGGAAATAATGAAAAGTATTTTTTAATACCTTTTACTTTTGTTCCATGCTTCTAATGGTTTGGATAATGAAATCTAAGGATGTTTATTTTTCACTATTCACTATATTTTCCACTGTTGTCTCTGGCCCTTTCATATTTCTCCATGGTACTGATTTTGAAGGCAGACAGCACGGAATGTTTATTGTTATCTTTTGTTTTTTAACTTAGATCAGGGGAAAAATTATTTTAAGCTGAAAATCTTGCTAGCATCTGTGGAAGTCTTTTGGAAAAGGTCCATTTGCAAAACYGGGACGTTGTGCCTGGTTTGAGGTGAGAAATGGTCCTGGTAACGATAAAAAGATATAAATTGTTTTCACAGGAGATGGTAGCTGCAAGTTTAGGCGTTCCAGCCAACAGGATCATGTGTCACGTCAAGCGAGTTGGGGGAGCTTTTGGTGGGAAGCTCCTGAAAGCTGGATTACTGGCATCAGTTGCTGCAGTGGCTGCAAAAAAGTAAGTGTGTGTGTGGGGGTGTGTGTGCGCGTGTGCGCGTGTATGGGGCTACAAGGAGAAAACTGAGTGAACAAGTCTTGCAACTTGGCTAAAATGCTTTCTCCTTTCCCCAAGATGATAGTGAAAGAGCCATAAAATCCAGAGTGTTTGCATTTGGTAAAGTTGTTCACTTAATTTTTGTTCTTGTTGTTCATTTCAATTTGTTTTTCTATACTGTTTTAAGATGATCTACACACAGGTTGATGAGACAGAAGAAATCCAGATTAGTATAAGCCAGAAATGGTTGACCATTATAGAGCACTAGGCTCGGATACTGATATTTTGTATGTATATTCAGAATATTACTTTATTAATCCAGGACTATCTTCAGCATTGTGCTGTGCCAATAGAAGAAACTATGTGTGGAGAAGCTGGATAAGTGCTTTCAGATCTCTCTTCTTTTAAAAGGAGTCTTTTAAATTTAGTCTAAATATATGTTTACATGCATTGCTAGTCCTGGATTCATGAGGAAACCTATTGATAACTTCCCTAATTCTGTCTGGAATTGTCACTTTTGTTGATTTAGAACCAGCAGAGCAGTTCGTCTTGTTCTGAGTCGAGGGGATGATATGTTAATCACCGGAGGCCGACATCCTTTTGTTGGTAAATACAAAGTGAGTGGCACAAATATTCAGTGCAAAAATACCTGCCCATAGTCTATGAAGGAGATTAATACTCATGGTTAATACTTGCTCTTTTAATGAAAATTATAATCAATTCCAATCTAAAGTAATCTAAAGTAAAACCATAAGCCAGGAAACCAAGAGATAAAATTGCTGTACAAACCTTTCTTTCCACCTGCTTCTATCCTTGCACTTTAGGATTCCCCTCAGTGCAAGTCCTTTTCCTTCTTTCTTTCTGGGAACTGGAAACCAAATGTTTTTACTAGTTCAAACATCTGCACAAATTTATTTTAAGTCCTCCATACATTCACATTCAATCAAAAGAGTCACTAGCTTTTCTTGGAAACAATGTCAAACAGGAAAACTCATTCTGTGGAGGAAGCCAATCTGTTTTCTGCTCAAGTGCTGTTATCAGTCTTAATAATTCATTACAGTAAATTCTCATGTACACTGTGTAGGTAAACAAAGAAAGGTTGTACAAGGTGCCTCCCTAGAGCTTAGAATAAACTGTAGCTCCTGAAAAATACTGAAGAACTATCATKAGGAGCAACGGATGAAGAGAGAGATGTGAGATAACAATAGCATTTCTTCATTTAAATAAAGAAAATGTTATACTCCATCTGCCAGACACCTTTCTAACAGTCACAGTGAGACCTGACTTTGTCTACAGGGAACATTGCTGSGTGACCCAAAATGCTTCTCAGTTGTCTGTTAGGCAGCACCCAGGGACGTGGCTCTTCATCTGCCTTGGGGCTCACGTTGCTTGTTGTAAACTGCACCTGTACAGATGATGGATGGCAGATGGGAAAGCCCATAGCCCTTTACTCTTCTGCCTTTCTACATTTGCACTGAATCAGGAATACTGCGAAATGAATTGCACTGATTATGTGGCTCACAGTCATTTGCAAAAAGTCCAAGCATGGAAAAATGAATGAATAGCAACATCTAAGAAGGCTGTGTTGATCTGCTGCAGGTTGGCTTCATGAATGATGGGAGGATTGTAGCTGTGGATACTGAATTTTACATTAATGGAGGATGCACCCCTGATGAATCTGTCCTGGTAAGGATTTTCTAAACTGACCAATCTTATAATGGGAAGGAATCAATAGCTGTGAAATGAAGGCCACTTCCCTTGCTCGTATACTGCTATTCAAATATCCTTTGCTATGGAAACTCAGGACATGTCAGCAAATACACATCTCAGAGTTTCCTTGTCTGGGGGAGTACTACACAGCTCTTGGTACTTCCTTACAGGTTAACTTTGTGAACTGTTTCTCAAGCTTATTTTCCCATAGTAATCACACTGGCTAGGAATCTATTCCTTTAAAATACATAGTATCTCCGTTTGTACTTGCTAGGACAAGTATGTCATTACTCGTATGTGCAGTTAATAAAACAAAACTTCCCTCAGTTGTTTTTATGAAGAAATGTGTTCAAGTTTGATGTTCTAAACACAGTGGAAACACTAGTAGTGCAGGGTTAAATTTGCCATTCTGGGAATTACTTGACATTGAAGAGAACCAGTGTCCTCTTCATGAAGCATCAAGACATTTTTAAACTTAATCTGTTTATTTTGGGCTATCTAGTAATGATTTACTTTTTATCATGTGAAATTTCTAAACAGACAAACATAAGAACCAGAAGATATTGTAGACTGGAATTATTGTTCTTTCTGCCAGATCTGAAACTTTACTGTGAATTTCTGTAGGACATGATAATTCACAATGCTTTTACAGCTTTTCATGTTTTGATATTTCTTTTTGCTTTAAGTCTGACTTCCTATTTTTAATTTTATATGACTTGATTTTTAAAGTGGGAGCAAAATCAATCTTAAAATCAATTTCACTCAGGTGCTAGTAGCAACAGCTTTGTTCTGTGAATAGTCAAGGAACTGGATATTCAAAAAAACTAAAATGTAGTTTCATGCTTCTTGAAAAATTTGTGAATAACATCTGCATCTATGGATAATATAGTATTCTTGTTGCCAGTGATTTACAGAAACCTGAGTTTAAAGCTAATTGTTTCAGTGCCTTTCTGTAGAAAGAGAAAGAACTAAATGTAAACGTTAATGAAGTATTGCTCTGACATTTAAGTTTATCTGTTTGTCCCCAACTCTAGGTAGCAGAAACATCCCTATTAAAAATGGACAATGCCTACAGGATTCCTAACTTGAGATGCTGGGCTTATGCCTGCAAAACCAACTTGCCATCAAACACGGCATTCAGGGGGTTTGGTTTCCCCCAGTCRGCACTAGTGACAGAAAATTGGATAACAGGAATTGCAGATAAAACTGGATTATCAGCAGAAAAGGTAAAAATGAAATACATATTCTCTTCTGAAAATAAAGCCTTTGTGGTTGGAAAGTTAAAATACTGGRCTGGCTCAACTGTTTGAACAAATCTTTTCTAAGACGAACATAATTTGTGATAAAATTCATAAACAATTTACTGTTAGTGTCTGAATGAATAGCATGCTCTTGCAAACTGAACCAAACTGATAATTGTTCAAAAAATTCAGCTATRTTTTTGTTGTCTACATGTCCCCCTGTATGGTCAGTAAGATTTTTAGAAYGATTATGTGATTTCTGTTAATCTTATTTCAGGTTAGGGAAATAAACATGTACAGGGAGAATGAGCAGACACATTTCAAACAACGACTTGATCCAGAAAATTTAATACGGTGTTGGAATGAATGCATGGAGAAGTCTGCATACTACAAGAGGAAAACGGCCATCAAGGAATTTAACGAACAAAATTACTGGAAGAAAAAAGGGATTGCGATTGTTCCACTGAAGTTTCCACTTGGCCTAGGCACACGTTACCTTTCTCAGGTACCCCCATGTTCAGTTGCCAGGTTTATTTTAGGATCTAGAAAGTAGAAAAGCAGTTATCTGAAGATTTGCATCATTTCCTTTGGAAGCGCACTGAAGAGAAAAGAACAGGGGCTAGCATTCAAAATTCTGCCTTCTGTTCAAAGACATTGAACAGAAAAATATAAGTTTCCAAACTCTCTGCTTTCACTTTTGATGTATCATCTCCTTAAGTTATACAACACATTTCTCACCTGTCTAATTGTCTAATCTTTTTTTTTCTTTCTTTACTTTTTTTTTTAGGCTGCTGCTCTGGTTCACATATATACTGATGGGTCTGTGCTTCTGACGCATGGTGGAATTGAAATGGGACAGGGAATTCACACAAAAATGATCCAGGTACTAGAGAACAAACGTTACCTTGTGCTGCATCTTCACGCAGATAAACAATGGGAAGGTTTTCTTCTTGGTGACTGTAGCAGTTGAAGCAAGACACAGAATAATTTCTTTAATCAGCATAGCTGCTCCTTTTTTTTCATCTATAGTGTTAGGAAGTAAAGGTGCTTTCATTGAGATTAAGAGACAACAGGAAAAGAAAACATTATTTAACTTTTAAAAGTTGCCTTTTTACAAATAAAGTCTTTTGGGTCTGGCCCCTCATAACTCAAAAAAAAATAAGAGAGAGCAAAAAAAGAGAGCTAAACTTCAGATTAGTATGCAATCTGAAGAGATTACATTATTATCTTGGTTTAATGGACGACTGAGACACAGCTATAAAGAGATTTACCAGTTCAATGAACCCTTTGGATTTGGGCCTGCATGTTTTGCCTTAAGCCTTACAYGAAGTTCTTACAGGAAGTCTGAAGCAAAATCACGTACTTAACTCTGTACTGACAGACTTGGCAGGATGATGACAGCTGGAGGTTGGAAAAGCACTTGGAGAAACATTATCTTTCTTCGAACCATTGRCTTTTGACAGTTCAAGGGAACGGTTGGAGTGTATGGAATGTTCCTGAAATACACAAGGATATTTTCTTCTTCCTGAAACAGGTTGCTAGTCGGGAGCTGAACATCCCCATGTCGCGTATTCACTTTTGTGAAACAAGCACAAAAACTATTCCTAATTCCTGTGCCTCAGCGGGGTCTGTGGGGACAGATGTCAACGGAATGGCTGTGAAGGTAAGGAGCAGGATTTAGGTTAACCCGATTTCTTGTGGTATTTAACGCCAGCCAAAATTCAAGCGTTAGAGATCTCATGGAAAACAGACTTTGGACCAAAAATAATACCACTGGAGATTGCCAAGAAGAAACATCATTTTTTGACAATTTCTCTATAACTGCACTTGTGATGTAATCCAGACTTTCCTCGGAAGGCTTACATGTTTGACTAAATCCAGACTTTCCTCGGAAGGCTTACATGTTTGACTAAATCCTTGTTTCACCTAACAGAAATGATTAACTTGTCCTGTGTCAATCCTGTATCTTGTCCCTGTTCTAAATTTACTGATTCAGGCTGTTTCTAGTCCTTACAACTTCAATCTTAATAAGGTTTCTGCTTATGCAGTTAAAATAGCACCTCCTACCATGCTCTTTCAAACTTAAGAACACAGTAAGACAAATACTGCATTTTAAATACCAACTAAGACGTACTGAGTAACTATTAAATAGTATCAAATATATCTCTGTTAATGTTGTGTTACTTTCTTCCAATTTCTGTCCCGAATAGGATGCTTGCCAAACTCTTCTGAAACGTCTGCAGCCTATCATCAACAAGAACCCCAAAGGCACCTGGAATGACTGGGTAAGAGTTGGGAATCATACTGCACATCATTGTGTCTTGCAATCTGTTGGTCTTCTCAGCCTCATAAAGCTAAAAGCTGCAGGAACAGGTTGATTCAGGATGTAGGTGCTTGATCGTGGTATGTGACAAACAACGCCCAGGTCCCTTCTGTTGCGGGGAGTGATCTGTAAAGTCACCTTTGAAATTGCTGGAGTTTTTATTATACAGAAAATATCAGCCTGTGTAATAATATATCCCACTCTGGTTTACCTGCAGACAAACTGTTGTAAAAGGTATGTCAGGTTTTATCTATGTTAGTTTTCCTATCTGGCTATAGGTTCTTTATTTTTTACCAACTTTATTATAATAATAATCTTTCTCAACCTTTTTCCTTCTATCTGTCTTCTATATGCAGTTTATGATATAATTGCAAAAAGGTATTAGGAATCCTTGTTTCCATTTTTCTGATCTGTAATCAGCTATGTAATAATCACTTTTGGAATAGGATAGTATTATAGCATATTATATATCCTATAGGATATAGGATAATACTATAATACTATTATTAATGCTAAAACTATTCATAGAAATAGATGGGCCCACTCAAAACTGGAGTGAAGTTTTAGGACTAGAAACTGAGTGTTCCTAACTGTAGGTTTGCTGCATMGATCTGCTACAGTGGTGGTTCTCACAGTATTAAATACTCTAAGTACTGTGAAAATTTAAGTTTTTAACTATTTATTCTCATCGATACCCTTAACATTAGAATAGCTGGGGCTTCTTGGTAACTGACAGCTATATATGCAAAGATTCACATAAAGTACACATCTACCGTAATAGATAACAAATTAATTTGGATATTTCAGGCACACTTGAAATATTAGGAGCAAATAGCTAGCCTAAGAACATTAATCCATATAAGGAGGTAATTTTACATCTTGCAAAGTCAGCAAATAGCAATTAACTAAAATCTAATTTTAAAAGACATCCTGACTTGTAATCTAAGCAAATCTGACATGAGAGTCAACCACGAGGGAGTAGATTTGGATGCTTATGTTATCATTTGTAAGCCATTGGCCTAAGAACACTGCCAAGAGCATTTACCTTGCCAGCTGCGGTGTCTGCACATGAGATCATGCAGMTCTCTCCCAGTGACTGATTTGTTCAGCCATCAGACACCCATTTCTTTTGAACCGAATAGGAAAATGAAGCAGGGCCTTTTCTGACTCCAGCAATAAAGATTGTGCAAGAACAACATTATTGATGGGTCTATTCATTACTCCATTACCCAAAAGAATTCAGGTTGCTCCTCCAAAGGTGGCTTAGTGCCRAAGTATTAGGCACCACCTGCACCTCAGCTGGTCTACATATTTTTACCAATTTGTTATGGTTTATGTTTTTTAATAAATACATCTCTTCTGTGTAACTCTCTGAATCACTGACATATTGCAAACACTACTGTTTTTAACAGATTAAAGAAGCTTTTGAACAGAGTGTGAGTCTTTCAGCTACTGGCTACTTCAGGTAATGTATTTTTAGCTCTTAAATATGTAGGGACTGTATAAAGACAAAGTGATTTTTGAAGGTATCCCATGCAGTGCATAGGAGATCGTGTCCACTGGGGTTGGGGAGGTGTTTGGTTTTTTTTTTTTTTTTTTTTTAAATCACTCATGTTTTATGTAATTGCTTAATAGTTGTAGGTCTGTCGTGCCTAGTGTAGCGCTCATTCAAGTGCTCACTCGTGGCTGGCCTGAATGTGTGGATTTTTTTTTTTTCTGCCACCAGAGGTTACAATGAAAATATGGATTGGGAGAAAGGGGAAGGGCAGCCATTTACTTATTTTCTTTTTGGAGCTGCTTGTTCAGAGGTTGAAATCAACTGCTTAACAGGAGATCACAAGGTAAAGATGAGTATCTCATAAGTTTTGATAATAATGTAAAAGCAGTTTCACTGGATTGTGTTGTCCTTGTGTTAGTGGATGCTTCAACAGTCATAAAGTCTGCATTAATAAATTACCTGTGTTCACACAATTGTAAAAAAATATCAATGGCATAATGAAAATTCCAGGTAGAGCAGAATCAAAGCTGTGCACTATTAATCAGCTTGTAGCACTTCTGTGTTAATGCTGCATTGGTTCATCTTTCTGGTTATGGCAGACACATTTTCTACTTCTTTCCCTGCTTGCTAGCAGACAATTAGAGCAGAGCTTCCTCTTCTGTGTCCAGTCTCTTGACCATCTAGATGTCATAATCCTCTGACTTGGCATGAGCTGGCTGCTGGACATAGAACTGATTTATGTGAGAACGTCCTCTGGCTAAAATTCCATGGGAGTTGACACAAGCCCAATTTACTTGTAACGGACTATTGGAGATCATTTTAAATTGTGTACCTGGAAGGGCTTCTTTATGTCAAATATTATATAAGTGAATAGCAGTTGTAGCCAACAGTGTGTTATAATGCCTCTAATCCATGCATCTCTTCCTGTAATACACACTTGAACTCTATTGACAGAATGTCAGAACAGACATTGTTATGGATATTGGATGCAGCATAAATCCAGCTGTGGATATAGGACAGGTATGTGCCAAGAAGTTTGCGCTCTTATTTCTGTATGAGTCTTATCTGAAGTGAATATTGCTTTATTAATTTAGAGGATACTAATTTCTTACTATATAACGTTATATAGATCATATCATAAAGTCTTTAACTCTTAGTTTTGTCCCCTTTGAGTCAGTTTCAAAGCTCCTACTGAAGTCAATGAAGCTTGAATTTTATCCATCTCTCGTCAGTCTTTAATACTTTACATATATATACACACACACATATAATATGTATATGTGTGTGTGTGTGTGTGTGTGTATATATATAATCTATGTATATTCCCATGATCTGCTAGATTTGAATCTTGTTTTTGATCTACACTCTCCCAATTTCTCCTGTTACATGAGTGACCTTCCCAGCTGGAAAGAAACAGATTCTTTTCATGCAAGTTGGTGCACAGATCCCACCAGCTGAGCAGGAATGCACTGTTCTCTGCCTGGGGTAAGAGAGGAGTGCGAAACTCTTCCCATCATGACAGCAGCAAAAGGTTCAGGAATTCCACTAGTCAAACATGAAAGAAAAGGGGCTTCTGATAGTTGATGATATGGATCAGTTCTTGCCTAAATTGTACCTGTTTTACCTACTTATGTTTCTCCTCTTATTTAAAGATTGAAGGTGCCTTTGTTCAAGGCATTGGACTTTACACAATGGAGGAGTTAAAGTACTCTCCAGAAGGAGTCCTCTACACACGAGGTCCAAATCAGTATAAAATACCTGCTGTTTGTGATATTCCAGAACAGTTCAGTGTTTCCCTCTTGTCATCTTCCCAAAATCCTTACGCCATCTATTCATCCAAGGTAAGTAGGCCATCACAGGGGCCGATTCTCTAATCTCAGGACAGTCAGAGCAATTACAGTGATACAGAATGCATATAAGCTGCTAGTTCCTTCTCTTCAGACAGCGTGCTTTGGGCAAACATTTGATTCTCAGATATTAATAAGCACAAAAGTAAACTTCAGTTGCAACATTCAAATTCAAACCAGATTAAAAAGTTCAGCACCTCAGCAATGAGGGAAGTATGGAATGCGAATAGATTTGATCTGTGTTTGAGATAAGGAACAAATGTAAATCTCAAGTTTGAAAGAAGGAGAGGACAGCAGGCTCACAGAGGTCTGTGGGGTTTGTCCTTAGGGAATTAATTTGACTTCAGGCTTTGCTTTTAATTTGCTTTTAATCATAGCTGTAC